ATACAGTAGAGCGTCGATTTTCCGAAAGTCAATCATCCGAAAGAATTCCAGTCGGCAAATTTAAATTTTCGCCAGAGCTGTGGTGCTTCAATCTTAGGCTATGTCTTGGGCTACTCAAATATTTTACGTTTTTGATACTAAATTAACATCTGAAGTATAATTTTTTATTATTTTTATATTTTTCAATATATTTATTTTGTTTGTACAAAATAAAAAAATAATTTTTAACGATACAATAGTCTTTGTTAGGCTTAACATCGACAAAAATTCAATGCGAAGCGACACACAACGGAGAAAAATTTCGACATCGTATACGTTAAACTATTTTTTCGTACGTAAATCAGTTATCCGAAATATCAGTTATGCGGACAACACCAGTCCCCAATTGATTCGGAAAATCGACGCTCTACTGTATTACTTTTAAAACAATTTTTGCATAATTTCCAAAATGTATTTCATAAATTTGATAAATATCATGAAATTTTTCATCTTTTGTTTTTAATAAAGTAACTTGGGGATTTAAACAAATTTTAATAAAATGAATCAAAAATACATTTTTTGTTAAATTAATATTAAGAATTATGCACAAAAATATAAAAAAATTTGTTGGGAAAAATATAAAACTTTAATAATTCATACTCCTTATTCAAACATGGTAAACTATCATGCCATTTTGAGTTACATAATTTTTCATTTTTCTTGCATTTGCATTTGGTTGAATTAAAATTTCCTTTACATGAGTAGCTTTGCTTCCCGTGATCTCCTGAAATTAGTGTTTCTCTTATTCACTAAGATAGAGGGATATTGGTACTGTACATTCTCTACTGTAAGAAATTGTTCGTCACATAGCACAAACTGGTTTCAGGTATACAATTGTGAAAAATGACCTTTCTTTATTTCTAAGTGATAGCACTTACAATTTTCATTAGCTAATATTACTACCAATATATTTCATGGATCATCTCTTGCCTTATCTACATCTGGTATTTTTAGCTTCACTGTATCTCATACTTTTCGCTACAGCAAACTTCAGCTCTGATACTTTCTTCATTATCTTTATTTGAGCTTCTAAACCTGCCTTTGCATTCATTCACTTCTCAACTTCTTTCTGTTTTTGATTGTAGAAAGATTGATCACTTTCATACTAAATAGTACTTTTGTTGACAAATCAGGAATAGTCACATTGGGTTGGTTGAGCAATGGCTGTTCATTTTCAATACTTTTCTCTGAAATATTTTCATTGGGTCTTTCTAATTTATTACTATTATTTATCTGATGATTCAGTTATTTCTTGTAGCTTCTCTTTGGTGCAAACATCTGCTACAGCATCATTAGGAAGGGATGATGTCTTCAGCTCAACTTTTAATGGTGAACCAAATATGGCTTCATAAGGACCTACACGTAATATGTTGGTGACATAATCTATTCTTCTCGAGCTGCAAAAAGAGCAATTCCTTGATTCAGTGCTGGGTTTGGTTGCTTTCTAACCAAACCCAGCTATTTGCCATTTTATAAGTTAAAAAAGTTTATTAATAAAATAGGATAACAGATGGGACCACCAAAATTTTAAATGTTGGGAAAGTTGAGCAACTTGTTGCTTGTTTATTTTTCTTCTATCCCTTAAAATTATAAAATTTTATTATGCTTTATAAAAGTTCTTATAATGTATAATGAATATTTAGTTAAATTTTATTTTATTAATAACATTTTTATTTAATTTTGTTAGTTGAAGTTGAGCGTGCAGAATCAGTCTGTGATAATTTTGAACCTATGAATGATATTCCAAATCTATTAGATCCTGAAGCAATAGAAATTATTAAATCAGTAGGTATGTATTTGGTGAAATTTTAAAATTATATTATCTTTTATAATAGAAAGATAAAATGAATAATGTAGATTTTTTTTTTAAATTTAGAAGAAAGTGTTAAGCCTGAAAACATTCAAGTTGTTTCTAGTTATGAAACACTTGTACAGAAATATGTTGAAAATTATCTGTCTAGTGCTGCTCAATATTGCCAAATAACCGAACTTGCACGTAGAGTTAATGAATGGGAAGATAAAATACAACCTAAATTGCAAGAAGAGGTTTGTAGATGAGTTTATAGTGTGTGTGTGCGTACACATAAGTATAATAGAAATATTCCTTTATTAATTAAATACAGGAATACATCTATTTTCATATTTATAATTCATAATTATAGAAATTTTAATCTTTTGATAGGAAAAACATGAACCTTTTGACATCCATGTTTATGGAACAAGAATATTAGACTTCTATAGGGATAATAATCGAAAACAAACAGTAAACTTTTCTACAGTGTGTAAGAAAAAGAAAAGATGGGAAATTTGCAGATATTTTTTGGCCACATTACAATTAGTAAGTAACATTTCAAATTTAATTTTTCAACAATTTAATTAAGTATATTTTGAAAGAAGATTAAGTTTCTTAATTTAAAATGGTTATTTAAGTTTGAAAGCATAAATAAAATAGTCATTTGAAATATTGATATAAGCACAGTTTTATATTAAGTCTGATATAATGTAATAAAATATTTTGCATGTTAAATTATAATAATATAATAATTTCTTGAATTTGTTACCAGTGTAAATAAATTTAGTAATCTGCCATTATTACAAAAATCCTCATCTAAATAACTGAATTGTATGCTCAAAAAGTAATTTTTTATTCATGTTAAGTAGTGAACAATTATACATTACATGTCCATTGTTAAACATGCAACACCAAATCTCATTCAAGGAATCTAGAAAGTTGTTTATAGACTCCTTTAATGAGGTTTGGTGCTGTGTACAGTGATACCTTGACTTACGTGAACCCGGAGTTATGCGATTTTCAAATCTCGTCAATTCGTCTTTTGTTTGAGCACCACGCAACTCTTGATTACTCATTCCCTCCACACTATTGTTCAGCTTACATGTTCGGATGTGTCGCGTGAAATTGACACATAGTTACAATTTATTTTGTGTTATTTATTTCTGTGTTTGTTATATCTACGGAGACTCGAGAGACTCTATGTGGTGATTTATTGTAACAATGAATGAATCAAAAGACGAGATAAGATTAACGAGAACATTTATTAGCTTACATCCATCCGACTTGGATTTTACACACATTGAGAAATTATACCCCGACTTACGCGAATTCGACTTACGCGGTTATCGCTCGGTCCCACCTATTGCGTAAGTTCGGGGTATTACTGTATTTAATCTTTTTATTTATTTACTTGTTTAGTTTGGAGATGTGTTGCTAACTTGTTTTGAACTATTTAATAATCTCTGATTCCTTATAAACTTTTGACAGTAGACAATATTTGTTCTTGGTTTAAACTTGATGTTATTCATGATTATGGAATTTTCAAATAATTAAAAATGAACTAATTATTTTAAAATCTAATTTGTTGTATTTCCTTATTAAGTAAGAAACAAAAACTATTATTGCATCAGTAAAAATAAATAAATAAAATAGTAATATGAAAAATTTCACTTTCCTGGCAGTTACATGAAAAGTATTGTAATTTGTGAAATTTTGACTCTGGGTTTTTGCATTTCTTGATGTTTTAGGTTCTGATTCCAAAAGTATCAAAAAATGGGGACAAAGTTGAGAAAAATACATGAAAACTGGGGAGTGGCATTCAGTAGTTTTCTATGTTTGGAAATGTCAGAAGTTAGAGAAGCATGGTTTGTTGACTCAAGAGTCAAGAAATTTGTAAACCATGTTCAGTGGGACTAGAGTGGGTTAACCTAACTATTTTTCATCTGTGAATATACAAATTCACGTGTAATAAGACCTACAATAGTCTTGTATCATAAAGACTGAAATATCTTGTTTATCTTAATGTGTAAATCTGGACATGGTTAGATATGGGAATTTAAGTTTTTATTTAAAAGGAATTTTGTATTTAATTTTATAAATATATATACTGTTAATATAGCTTTTTGTAAGTTAATGAATGTTTATAATATTATACATATAATAAATACAACTAACCTGATAGTTACTACAAATATCAAACAAATAGCCAGATTTTTTATCAGGCTATAAGGCTACATTTAAATTAAATTATTACTGTATTATAAACTGAAGTGCCAAAAAATTAGAGACAGCAGCATGTGGAATGTTGTCTACTCACAAGGGAAATGCTTTGAGTTGAAAAGTTTGCATATGACACCATAGGTATATTACTTATCAGTTATGTGTCAGCTTGATTAGAGTAGCAATGGGCTATGTAAAGGATTTATCATCATTTGATCATGGACAACTTGTTGGAGCAAGAAGAATGGGTCATTCTATCAGCAAGGTGACCAATGCTCTTGGATTTTCTTGTGCAACAGTTTCAAGAGTTTATTAGAATACTTAAATTCTGGACAGATCAGCAGCACGTGCACAGTGTGGGCAACCATGATTGATGCAAGAATGTGACTGCCAGTTGTTAACCCAGGTTAATTACCACACAATGAAGGACAACTCTATGCCAAATTACATCAGACTTCAACAGGGGCACTGCTGAACTCATCAATCAATCCACTGTACAATGTACACTGCATTCCTTGGATTTGATAGTTGCCGACCTGTTCTGGTATCACTACTAACATCAGGCATCAAGCATCAGGCAATGTGCCTCACTTGGACCAAAGAACATAAATGTTCAATTTTGATGTTCTTTATGTTGTCAAATGAATCTTGTTTTAAGTTCATTCAAGCTGAAAGCTGTGCTTGTGTGTGGCAACCATTACACGAATCCATTGTGTCAGCAAGGTGTTGTGCAAGCTGGTGGCAGCTCCATCCTGGTTTGGATTTGTTCTGTTGGCATCAAGAGAGACTAATGGCAAGATTGCAAGAAGCTTTGACAGGTGTGATGCATACTAATCTAGTGACAGACATTTTGTACCCCTTATGCTTCCTATGTTTCCTGACAGTAATAGTTGGTACTAGCAGGATAATATTACTCCACGGGGCACGGGTGACACAACAATGGCTTGAGAACACTTACAGATTTTCAGCTACTCCCTTGGCCATCTTGGTCACCAGACTTGAACTTCATTGGGTATTTATGGGACATTGTGCAAATGTTACTCAATGCCTTGCAGAACTATTCAACAAATGCAACTGAATTATGGAAAACCATTGAATGTGTCTGGATTGAAATATCTGTACAACACTCAGACACTTTTAGAGTCTATGCCACATCTTATAGTTGCTGTTATTTGGGCTCAGGGAGGAGCTATATATTATTTGTTAGGTGTGTCTAATTTTTTGGCACTTCAGTTTATATAACAACAGAAGGCAGCCTGGTGATCTGCCTCCTGCCAAATTGCTTAGTAATTATTTAGCCTTACAGTCCAATAAAAAATCTGATTGTTTGTTTGGTATAATTTTATTATTTAATTATTACCTTTATATAAATATAATTAAATTGCTTATATAATTTTAATCTATAGGCCAACAATTATAATGTTCACATAACCAGTGGAGAGAAGATGGATACAATGGAACTCACATTATTATCTCGGAAAAGGCATCATGACAATCTGAATGAGTTTCAAACTTCATGAATTTCATGACAAATAGTGATTGTAATTATTTTAATATTTCATCTGTTGATGGGCAGATATATTATGCCTCAATCATCTCTGTGTATAAAGCTACCACATAAAACATCATTTGTATAAAAATATACAATATAATCAGCCTTAAAATTTTAAATGTGTCAAAAAAACTACACACATTAATTGAATATTTTAAATATAAACTGAAAGAATTGAAATGACATGCATCTCTTCTGTCCAGTAAATTTGAAATTTAAGCCATCAATATTTTTAGTTTAGTGGAATCATACACACATATATATTTTTATATTCTAATAACCAAAATTTATTTTATTTGTATTTAAATAAGATTAAAAAAATCTGAACATTTGTCAGTATTAATAACAGAGTTATATTCTCTGTTTCTTGTACAGGTAATTGTTATTTCTCTTTTATAGTAAGCTGTGTACATTATATTAAAGGTTGTATTTAAAATGTTTTTGGGTAAAATCATAAACTTTTATATTCCTGGAAATAAAGTATTTTTATTTATTTATTAATGTAGAATTGAAAACATTATTAATATTTTATTAATTTTGTTTTCTTAATGAAATATTTTATAGAATCTAGATTTTATAAATCATAAGTATGGACAACTGGATGGCCAAAGTTGTTAAGATATCAGTTTGCTGCTCTGGGAATCTGGGAGTTTTTCATGGACAGACCATCCTAGACATGTTAGACCCTGCTTCACCATCCAGCCACCCCTTGATAGCCAGATCGTCAAGCAGTTAAGATGTCAGTCTACTTCTCTGGGAATCCAGGAATGAATCTGGGTGAGTGGTAAAACCCAGGATGGTCCTTCCTTGATATATTGGGCCCCATTCCTCACCCCAGTAACCCATTGTGGCCTGGCCAAACCCAAGACAGGCATGAGAAAAAAGGCCCTCTTAGTGCTCACAGGATGGAGAGGGTAAAAAAATATAAATGCAGATAATATTATGTTGTTACACTGTCATGTATAAATAAATTTACAATTATAAGTTATTAAACATTTTTAATAGCACTTCAGAATTGATGTATAGAAATTTATACACAATTGTAAATACATGTATAAATTCTAAAATCTGCTGTCACAAATAATTTTATTTGATTATAATGCAACATTATTAAGCAAAATATCATTTTTGAAATAAAATAATGTAAAATAAAATAATAAAATATTTTACAAATTTAAACTTTATATAGCATTAAGAAATATTTGGGTTTTATGATAATTCATATAAAATATAACAAATAAAATTGAATACATTATATAATACATTTAATACAGAAATATATTTTTTTTTCTACAATATACAGTATATATCAATATAATTAAAAGAACATTACCCAACTTACAACAAAGTTTTCTTTTGAGACTCATCATAACTGTATGTGATAGAGAGGTACTGTAAGGTTCTCAAGGATGCATGTAAACCTATATAATATATATACACCATATGTATATTGTAATAAGATACTGTACCTTAATACAGAACACCAACGTTTAGACCAGTGTTTCTCAACGGGGCGTTATCGCCCCCATGTAGGCGATATAGTAAAACATTATATTAAGAATAATTAGATATTTTATTCGTTATATTGTACAATAATTAAACAAATAACATTATACTAGTTACTAGTCGAATAGTCGTACTATGCAGTACGAATTTGGCATTAGGCCCTCGTAGCTAGTCTTGTCTTTCGGCATCAGAATTTTGTAGTGAAGGGGGCGATACTACGTAACGGTTTTATTGAAGGGGCGATACTACGTTGAAGGGGGGTGATACTACGTAACGGTTTTATTGAAGGGGCGATGATTCGTTAGAGGTTGAGAAACACTGGTTTAGACATAACAGTCTGTCCCATGTAAATATCTTTAAGGAGTAAAAGATCTTTCTAGCATTGCATGAGTGTGGTGCATGCTTGTTCCGAAGGGAATCAGTTCAAAACGATTTAGTATAACACAAATAATCCTTGACTATAAAGGATAAAAATAACATTTGCAGGATAGGTAAAAAAAAAGGTTATTTTTGTTAATTAAAGAACACGTTCAAAATGACTGCCTTCAATGGCAATACAAGGATGTACTGTACTGTAGATTAAAAAATATTTCAACTTTGTTAACTTTTGTATATTTTATGCCATTAAACTTTGCTCATTTTTAGGATAAAAATGCTTTATTAGAATTAACAATTCTATAATTAAATTCAGGTCAAGATAAATTGGAAAATATCTGATATTTTTACAAAAATATCGAAAAAAGAATTATTTAACACTGAACTTAATACGATATTAACACGAACTATACGATCCAGCCATTAATTTTCTCACATTTTGCTATTTATAAACGTGACGCATCGTCGTGCATTATAGGAAATATTTCACTAGACACCCACCCATTCTCAATATATATATATAGTATAGAAATTATGCAAAGTAATATTTGCACCAAACAAATTTAAATGAGAGAATTATATTTAAGAATTGCAAATTTATATATAGTTCAATTTTAAATGTCTAAGATTCCGAACGGTTACCGAGGTTTCTGTTTAAAAAATCAAAATTGGGAATTCTATACGAAATAAAAGCTGTTTTTCTCATCTATTATTCTCTTCGTAAACATTCTGAAAATGTGATTATATTATACAATATGAAAATCATTGGGAGGAATTTCCAACAAATCGTTGAAGTACACAACTCATTCTTAAATTTGATGTTTTACAGCTAGTACAGTATTAACATTTATTTTAAATTTACTATTATGATTAGCGTGTTAATAAACGTCCACCAGTTAAGGGGCGGATCTAGGTTTTCGGGGCCTAGGGCTTATTGAAGTCCAATGGGGCCTCATTTTTTGTTAGATTAAGAATCTTTAAATTGGGGTTTAAAATTGCAACTTGGTGACCTGACCAATTACGCAACATTGATTACAATAAAACTAATACTCAAACCTGTACCCACGTATGCATGCGTATCCAAATCCGGCACGTAACGTATCATATGATTTCGATTTATTATCTGTCTTTTTGAATCAGCTTTTTTACATTTATTCTAATTAAAGAGTGTTCTTTTAATTTCTATAAATATCGAAGTCAAATTTTTCAGGGTCTGTACAGACCTGGAAAGTCAGGGAATAAGATTTTTAGCGGGAAAAGTCGGAATCCGTCTGTAGCTCTCTATCTTTTATGTTCTGAACATGTCTTCCGCAGCATTGAATTTGAATAAATGGCAATTTCAATTTCAACAGACTGTCTTCAATTTTAAATATTTTAAATGAAAATAATGTCTACATAATCTTCAGAAGTTTGTCAGTTTTCATTCCTTTTATTGAATATGTATGTATAACGGCCGGATGGATGAAATGGTTAAAGCTACAGCCCGCCTCTTTGAGGAATCTGAGATCGAATCCAACAGAGCAAAACAATTTCAGAAATTTTTCATGAGTAATCTATCCCGGATGTGTCAGGTCCCATCCATTACTACCTAGGAACTCAAGATGGTTGTGGAAAAAAGGCCTTCTTAGTATCTACAAGGCTAAAAAATTAAGAAAATGCCCTCTAAGATTTTAATCGCGAATATGAGCTTCACTATTTCTTAAAAATAAAATTTGTTTTAATATATTTATCCTTTCAATTTTATTAAATTCTTATGTTGTTTTATTTTATGCATTTATTTGTAAGTAATTATTAAAACAATCTTCTATATATTATTTATTTCTTTATAATTAAAATCATCCTCCTCAGTTATACTCCTTGATCAGGCTTTGTGTACTGATCACTTTTACTGATAATAATAACCATTTGATAACATTAAGATATGTAAGTAAATAAGACTACAATTAGTAATAACACTGAATTTATTTACCTACTATGAAAAGTACTGTACTTTTGTGTAATTTTAAAACAATTTAAAATTGTATAAAGATTTATTAATTCTGATTTTTATTATCTCCAGTGTTATTTTCCCGCTGTTTTGTAGTGCTATCATTAAAAATAACTAGCATATAATTGAAATAAGAAATGTGAGCAATTTATACTACTGTGATTAATTACTGTATTAACTATAACGAATAACCATTACTTTTATAACAAATAAGAATTGACGGAACTCGTTATCAGCCATATGTTTGGGCTGATAAACATTATATTTTTTTCATTTTTAATTTTCCTCTCTATGAACACTAAGACTATTAAAGAAAATCTTAATTATATTTATTATGAGTTTGGCCAGGCCACAATGAGGGACATCGAATGATAAGGAACGAAACCCTGTATATCCAGAACAAGTTACCTATAAAAATTTTTGGGGAATTGCGCGTCCGAATTCGATCCCGAATCCCCCAGTCTGAGTCCTTAACTAACTCATTCGTATTCTATAATATATGTGTATTAGGGTTTCTCATTTCCCGGTCTTTTGCTTGTCCCGGGATCCCGGGATAGAATTAATTATTTTTAAGGTATACAAAATATCTTGAAATCAAATGATATAATTATTTTCCATTTTTTAAAGTAATTTTAAAGTTCTGTAACCTCCAAAATCATATTAATAATGCTGTGTAAGGTCTATAGGCCTATAATAAAAATTACCTTTAAATAACGTAGAAATTTTCACAAATAGAAAAAAATTAATTAAAGTTTGCTGGAAACTGCATACAACAACAACAAAAAAAATGTTTTGAATTGAGTTAAAAATTAAAAAAAATAACTTCTAATTTAGAAGGTAATTTTCGTTTTTTAAATAAAATATAATACAAAATATTGCAAACTTTTATAAGATTTTAAAAAGCAAAGATGGTCAATACTCCGATAACTCACTCTAATTCTTATTTTAGTAATGAAAAGTCTTGCCACCGAGAATGCCCTTTCCGATTCAATTGATGTGATTGGAATAGTGTTTAATGCATTTAAGAGAAGACAGATATTATGTGTTTTTTCACCTGTAGCCTGGAAGATTTCGAGTTCGTTTTCGAGATTGTAGTACTTCTTTCGCTCTCTAGTATTCTTGATTTGTCTACCTTGGCTGCTTTAATAGCGGCATCAAGCTTAGAGCTCGATAATTCGGCAATTCATTTGGCTTTAATAATCAGGTTTATGAAGAAAAACTTCATACTTGCAGACTTTGTACTCGTTTGTATCCTTGCCCAATTTGCACAATCTGGCGTCAGGCATTTATTGAAGCTACTGGGCATGGTTAAAACTCAAGACAGCGTAAGCACAATTATTCCAGATATTACAGGTTCCGACAAGTAAAGAATTTTTATAGTCATGCCACAAATAAGCTATATATTGATTATTGACCATTTGTGACATGCTATAACGAGCAAAAATTTAAAAAAACTAATAGGTAGGTTTAAAATTAATAAATACAAATGTATTCTGACAGTGAATGAGTTAATTATGCTTTCTATTTGCAAAATTCCTCAACCTTAACACAAAATAAGAAAAAAAAGTGAATTTTTAAGAAATTTGCGGGATTTCCCGGGATATTTCCCGGGTTAAAAAAACAACCGGGATCCCGGAATCCCGTTTGAGAAACCCTAATGTGTATTATTTTGAATATTTAGGGCATTCGTTTTCAAAAGATAATTTATGAGATTTGGAAAATCAATATCAAAAATATATTATACTCAATTTAAAAGTGCTGTATATATTTGTGTAATTATGTAACCATTTTTTAAAATTATGCAGTAAATGTTATATAACGATTTGTATTGATTTTTCAACTTTCATATATTATCCTATAGAAAAGAATGTCCTAAATACGTATAAAAAATATCTAAGAAATTTAATTTTATATTATTTCGAATTTTGTATTATTTACGATTTAAATCAATATGTGTTAATATTTTAATCGTATTTAATTTTATTTGATATTTTTGATTATATAAAAAATATTCTCAGAGAATGAAATTTCTCAACTGGAAAATGCTTTTTAAATTATACATTTGGGTTTTATTTATTACGTTTCGTGACATCATTCGTACATTTAATCGAAAAGAACGTCGGAATCGTCACGTAATCAGAAATCAAATGTTTCATAATTAAAATTTCCA